TACCCTTTAGAGGCCGACGCGAGCAAAAACCCCTTGAGAATAAAATGGCCTCCGCTACTCTGCTCCGCCTCTCGCTTCCGCCTTTCGCCGCCACGGTCTGCCTTCCTCCCCACCAACACCGCCGCCGCCTCTTGCCCCGTCCTCTCACACCCAACTCACCAAATCTCTTCCAAACCCGATCCCCGCCCAAGCCCCAACGCGCCGGATCCCCAATCTCCGCCTCCTACGGCCCGACGCCGGCCACCGACCGGCTAATCTCCGCCGCGGCGTACTTCCTCCCGCTCTTCAACGGCCTCCAGTACGGCCGCTTCCTCCTGGCCCAATACCCAACCCTAGCCATCCCATTCGACCCGATCCTCCCGATCCTCTCCCTCTACCGCTCCGTCCCTTTCGCCAGCTTCGTCTCCTTCTTCGCCATCTACTTGGGAATCGTCCGCAACCAGAGGTTTAGCCACTACGCCCGCTTCAACTCGCTCCAGGCGCTGGTGCTTGACATCCTCCTGGTGGTGCCGCTTCTGGTTCAGCGGATCTTCGCTCCGGGTCGGGCAGGAATCGGGCTCAAGATAACGATATGGATGTATAATGGGCTTTTTGTGTTCGTAGTGGGCTGCTTTTTGTATGGGCTTCTCGCCAGTGTTTTTGGGAAAACTCCTTACTTCCCCCTCGTAACCGATGCTGCCAAGCACCAAATGTAGGCCCGGGTGTATTTTATTCTCTTGTGTTTGTAATGCAACTTTTTATTTTTACTAAAAGTAGTACCTTTATTTTCAACAACAAAACTATTACCTTTTGTTTTGTTAATTACTCCCTATATCATTCTCTAAAACTTTAACCAACCGAACTCAAAAAATAAGTAACAAAAAAAGGGGTTTTAAGAAGAAAAAGAAACAATAACATTTGGCTAATTTTAACTTTTTGCAGTCAAAATTGATAAGTTTTGATTATAATATAAATAAAATTGATATTAGATATTAATATGATACTTGGTGATATTATTAGATTTGTTTCATATAGTATTTTCAAACTATTGTTTTATCTAATCGATATTGTTTATACATTTTATTTTATAGGTCAAAAGTAGACAAATATTTAAGAGTAAAGTATAATTATTTCTTTTTCTTCTAAAAACTCCTTTTTTGTGTTATTATTGGTATTGTATTATTATCTTGCTTTTCTTTTTCAAACGCGTTTTTATTGGTATTGTATTATTATCCTACTTTTCTTTTTTACAAAAATTGTATCCTCTTTGTGCCTAAATCTTCTTGTTTGGACATTTATGAAATTTAAAAAATAGATATTTTGTATTGATTTTCTAAATTCTACTTGAGTTGATAGGTAAAAGTAGGGTCTGTTGGTTAGATCATTGTTGAATAGTTATAGTGTGATAGGTAAAGTAAAAAATTATTAAAGCATCTACAATGGAAAGTGTAAAAATAGGTAGGCTATATTTAGTTTTATATATCCACTCCAATCATATCTTCTACATAATATACTTTTATTTTATTTTAATATTTTAAGTTATTTAATTGTGATAATATATATAGTTTAAAAATTCTGATGACACATATATTTTAAACTATGGTTATGGAGTATTAAGAAACAAGAAATAAAAAAAATTAGTAAAAAAAATGTACTACAACATTTTGTTAAAAAAATTATTTATAAAAGTAATTGAAAGAGTAATACTCCCTCCGTCCCACTGTGTTTGTCCACTTACCTTTTGGCACACCATCCAATGCACTTCTTTAATCCATTTTATCTTATAATTTGTATATTAAAAAATTATATATTAATAATCTATATGTTAAGACGAATCAAACAAGATCACACATGACTATTTTTAGGCTTACACATTGAGAGAATTTGATGAGTCAAAGTGCTTAGATGAATAGTTCAAAAGTCAAAACTGGACAAAGACAATGGGACGGAGGTAGTAATAATTTACTAATAGTTAGATATTTTAAATAAATTATATTGTATAAGAAGAATTAACAAAATTAATCATGCATTATTTTAGTAATAAATTTTTTACAAGATGTGAATAGGAGAGTGTATATATAGATGTTCAGAATTGTATTTTGGACTATAGTGCATTATTTATACTATCCATTGGAAGAGTTAAAATGTATATATTGTAGTGTATATTTAACAATATACATTTTATACCCTCTCCATTGGAGATTACTTTTTATTCCCTCCGTCCCTTTTTAGATTACAATATTCCTTTTTTTACAAAATTAAGGAAGAGTCAAATCAGTATTTTTTTCCAAATTACCCCCCAAATAGTATAAGAATGTGTGGGTAGGTGAGATTTTGACATTGAAATGATAAAGGGAAGAGAGGATAAAATAGTCCATTTAATGTAAAAGTAAACACATTGTAATTCTTTTTAGAACAAAAATAAGAAGGAATATTATAATCTAATTGGGGAGGGAGAGAGTATTATTTTTTTTAGTAGACATTCCTTACGCGTGACCGATTTTTTAATTTCTTTCTCACCAACACACCATAGAAAGGGAAAGGAAGGTCGCTAGCCGATACCACCAACCAATCCGTCATTAAAGCATCGCATCACCATGTCCATATCCGGAGTATATTAAGGCCGCACAGTCCAGTCCAGGTAAGAAGAAACTTTGAAAATGGCGAGCCTCAGAGTTCCAGCTTCTGTTCCTTCTCCCGCTGAGGATTCCGAGCAACTCCGAAAGGCATTCGCAGGTTCTCCGATCATATGATAAACTCCATTTAGATCTCCGATCATGCTGTTTATGCGTTTATTAACAGTTTTGATTTCTGCGTTCTCTTCCCCAATTACTATCGTTACTGCTATTACATTGATTCCTTTGGCTCTTTATGATCTGTAACCGGTGATCACTGATTCTCAATTGAACCGCCGATTTGAACGCATGGAAAATGAGGCGGTGCAGTGTGCCAATTCCATTATATTAGAGACCTTTGACATTGTATTGTGTTTTCTGAACCTGCGATTTGTGATTACTGCATTCTCCCCAGTTCCAAGCAATTGTATTTTTTTTTAACTGTTATAACTGCGATTTGGTTTTGCTTGATCGAATGCAGTGGACTTAATTTGCAAGATGTTAATGCACAATGGTAATGATAATTGATTATGTGATTTGCAGGATGGGGAACGAACGAGGCACTCATAATTCAGATATTGGCTCACAGGAATGCTGAACAGCGCAAGTCAATCCGCGATATCTATGCCTCAACTTATAATGAGGATCTTCTCAAGGACTTGGACTCTGAACTTTCAAGTGACTTTCAGGTTTGTCTTGGCCCAGTTCTGAAATCTAGAGCCTGGTTATTAGTAAGGACTAAAATGGTAGGAGTGGTTGAAAATTAAGGAAAATAAACGTGGAGGTTAGAATACCCTTTAAATTCAGCAATAAAATAGAAAAAGTTCGGGCATGCCAAGTTTGTACTCCAACTTGCAAACCATGTGTATCACACACAGAGAGATAAGAATTGTCTATGAATCTCACGGGCAATTGTTGTCTCTGTGCGTCTGTGATACACTTGGTGTGCAAGTTGGGGTACAAACATGGTGTACCCCTAACACACCTCATAAAAATAAGTCATGCTCAACTCAATCAAATCACTCAGTGCACGCCAGTGAAATTTGTTAGTATTTGGGTAAAAAGATGATTTGTAAGCCATAAAAGACTTCACCAGTCGAACACATAATTAGCTGACTTTTATGTGACATAATAGCGTGCTGTCCTGCTATGGACGTTGGAGCCTGCGGAGCGAGATGCATACCTGGTTAACGAAGCCACCAAACGCCTAACTTCTAGCAACCGGGTTATAATGGAAATTGCTTGCACTAGGTCTTCTCACGATCTCTTCAAGGTCAGGCAGAAGTACCATGATCGCTTCAAGAAATCACTTGAAGAAGATGTTGCATATCACACATCTGGGGACATTAGGAAGGTATGTGATGTACTCTGATCTTATACTTGTGTTTCTGGCATAATCATTTGCGAGGAATTTGGTAAATGGTAATTATGTGAATTCATGAGAGTGGAGTATTGAAGTTGACACACATTCTTCATTTTTCTCACCAATACCCAAAACCAGCTATTGGTTCCACTGGTGAGTGTATTCAGGTATGAGGGAGATGAGGTGAACATGACATTGGCAAGAAAAGAGGCTAACATACTTCATGAGAAGATCTCTGAAAAGGCTTATAGTGATGAGGAACTTCTTAGGATCCTCACTACTAGGAGTAAAGCACAGCTGAATGCAACCCTGAATCATTACAATGATCATTTCGGGAACCCAATCAACAAGGTAACTCTTACGTACAATTTTTTAAGATGCCGTTTGATTTTTACTCTGCCAAATTTGAAATTTGCCACTTTAATCAATGGATCATATTAACATGATTTTAGAGTACTAAAAAAACATTTTTGGACAAAAAAATTCTACTCTAATTTGGGAAGCATGCGTCCAGGATCTGAAAGCGGATCCTAAAGATGAGTACCTCGCGTTACTAAGAGCAGCGATCAAGTGCATGACATACCCTGAGAAGTACTTTGAGAAGGTTCTTCGGATGGCAATCAAAGGGCTGGGAACAGACGAATGGGCTCTCACAAGAGTTGTGACGACAAGAGCTGAGGTTGACATGGAGTCTATCAAAAATGAATATCATAAACGGAACAGCATTCCTCTGGAGCGTGCGATTGCTGGAGACACCTCTGGGGACTATGAAAGGATGCTTTTGGCTTTGATCGGCCACGACGACGTGTGAGCAAATCATCTTATTCCCCCTTTTCCTGGAACTATTTTCTCTTCATGGACTTGTTGGTGTGCTGCATTTCTGATCCTTGCTGGTTATTTTGCACCTCTCACTTTTGTTTCGAAAATAAATCTGAGTTGGACTTCAATTTTACTTGAATTTCACTAAGCACTTTGAAGTGATTATGCAGAACATACATACTTTTCTAAATAATTTTTTTTAATAACAATGGAATCACCAATTTATCGCAGATTCAAAATGCACCATTTTACACTAGGATTGAAATAGATTTTTCTAGTGTAAACCGGTGCATTCTGTGTCTGAAATAGATGGGTGATTTTTTTTTAAAAAAAGTACCAAAACAAAAGGTTGGCCCAGCATAACCGAAAATGGATGTGAATTAGACTTTTCACTTTAGCAACTGTTAGTGGAATTCTTTTGGGATTCATGTGTGGCACCAACCGACACGACAAGGGTTTGGGGCCAAGTGTTCCTCCCTAAATGTGCTTAACAATTGCGGGGTCTAACTAATATCTATTTCTAATCTCCACTATAAATATAAAATCATTAAACTTTATAAAGATGCAGTTATCACGAAACAATGCTTTCAACTAACTCATAATCATATTTATGTCTAAAATCATAAAGTTAATATTTCATAAAATAGTTATTTAGATTTTGTTTATTTACATTACTATGAATCATGACCATCATTCTATGAATATTCGTAGACTTTGATTTTTTTTGGTATGGAGTAATATATACTCTCTTCAGCCCCAAATAAAATGTCCACTTTTTTCAATCTTTCCAAAAAAAGAATTCTCACTTTTTTCTCTTTCTATAAAAGTAAGTGAATATGTAATTTTACAATACAAATAACATATTAGCATTCCAAAACTCAACAAATGAGTCCTTATTAAAAAATGGTAAGGGAGGGGGCGGG